GCAACGTGGTGGTGTCGGGGAAGAAAGTCGCGCTGCAACTGATCCCGCTCGCTCAGCTGCGCCTCCCCACCGACCTCCAGTCCAACCCGGCGCTCGCCGCCGCAGAAAAGTACACTGTCATGTGGTTCAACCACGGCAACGAGATGATGTTTTGTTCCGAAATCTGTTGCTATCGACACGGCGACTGTCGCGGCCACGAGCACGTCGTGGGCCGTCACCGGTCAGTTCACAATCCCTTCCGTTCGCCTCGACGCGAAGAACGTGATGAAGGCGACGCGGGCATTCACTGTTGCGTAAGGTGGACGATGCCGTTTGTATGCCTTGTAAACGTTCACACCGATGGATTTGAAAGCAAGTTTGGGAGCGAGATGGCGCGCAGGGATATCGAGCTCCACCGAGCTCTTTACACAAATATGGCGACAGTCAGGGTGGGCTTTGGCTGACCGGACTGTCCCGTTGAAACACGCTATGCTGGGAGACCAGCCTTGAGCTGGTTGAGGTTCTCGACAAAGTCGACGATTGTCTTGCCTGCAAATTCGACGAGGGGCGTTCCCTGAACGGTGCATTTGGCCTTCGGGTTGTTCTTGAGCAAGTCTTTCACGGACGTAAACACGCGCTGGCACCCTTCGCTCTTTTTGACTTTTTCCAACACGTCTGCGCCAGGCACGCCCGTCATCCCGATCGACACGCCAGAGTCTGCTTTGCACGTTTTAAAGTTGGGATCGAACAGAACCTTTGCCACCAGCTGAACCGCGTCCACGAGATTGCATGGGGGCAATTTGGACTTCGTAGTCACGTCAGTCTCCACAACTGCATCGTCATCCAGATGGGCGCAGACAAGCGATGGTACGTCGTGCTGTCCGTGTTAGGCACGGACGCACAAGACTCGCTGTCGGTGACGCTGGATGGCCAGCGGTGCCTCCCTGGACGACCAAGGGCGTCAAGGACCACACGTTTTACACGTGGAGCAGCACGGCCGGGTTCTCTGCGCACAAACTTGGGGTCGAGGCAGGCGGATTGTTCAACAGCACGATCAT